CACCCCGTATTTTTTTTGCGGGGGGGGGGGGGGGGAACACATTTGAGAGGCACAGATCTCCGGGGCCCCAAGGCTGCGCTGTCTTGGCGGGCCCCAACAGTGATGCAGTTCCAAGAACACAAAACAAGAAATGACAATAATTTGGGCAACCGTAAACAGATCAAGGGAGCACATTCGGGGTTCAGATCTACGAGAGACAAGTCTACCATTCACGGCAGACATAGGGCACATGAATGTTGATCTTCGGAGGCCACACAACAGTCGTGAGTGGAACTACAACCCAAGCAAGAAAGCAATTTAGGTTTCTGGCAGTCAGGAAGTGTAGGGAGACGACGCTTCCGACACAACGGCCCGTCCTATTAGGATTATGGCTTTCCACCAATATCTCTAAACCAGGAGGTGGGCAAATTAATCTGGAATTCAGGAGCCGGTCTGGCCAATCCAGGAGCCAGCAGGATTTTATTTTAGGGGCCAGCTCCATTGACAACAACCAGAGAAAACCTCAAAAGTTAGGTGCCAGCTGTCATTTATAAGGAGCACTGGCGACCTGGCTCCTGAGATTTGTCCAGCCTTGCTCTAAACTTCCGTTCTCTTCTTTCACAATATAAAAACAAACATTTAAGTAATAATTGTTGTGGATCGTTACTATGTATCGGTTATTGATAATAAAAACAAAAAACATGGACACCCCAGGACTTCCTGGTCCCTTTGTCAGCGTTGCTGTCTCAACACTTTTTTTTGGTGGGGGGGGGTGGGGGTGGGGGTTGTCGCTACTTATTAAAAAGTATTATACATTCTATAAATTATACTACTTTGGTTACTTGTAGTAAACTTTCTACAACTACAGATTCATAAACAAGATAACCTTTACTTCTGTGAGCACACATATGGTTACATTTGGAGTAGTGAGGATCGCAGACTTTTCCAGGTGTACAGCAACAAAGCACAACGTTTTACTAAGATTGACGTTTTGTTGGGCCGCAGAGTGGAGCTATATTCATATATCTTATGTTTATTTGTGTATGTGTGTCCTACAGGCAAGGATCCTGCTCTGATTCTATGCAACTGTTTAGACGTGCAATTAAAATGTGTTGTATGTTATTATTTAGCATTGTTATTACCACTCCGTACACTGCCATAGGGGGAAAATGACACCATATATAAAATCATCAATGTTGGGATCATCCCTGGCCTAAAAAAATGACAGGTGATGGCCAAACATCTCAGGCAGTGGAAACACTTGATCTCGGACACTTTAGTATAGTCTGCTAGAAACATTGTATAGAGAAGAGAGAGAGAGAGCGAAGAGACAAAAGTAAAAAGAGTAAAAAGAGAGAGAGAAAAAAGTAAAAAAAAAAAAAAAAGGGAGTAGTAAGAAGTAAAAGAGAGTAGAGAGAGAGAGAGAAGTAAAAGAGAGAAAAGAGTAGTGAGAGAGGTAAAAAAGAGAGTAGTAAGAGAAGAGAGAGACAAGGAAAGAGAGTAGTAAGAGAAGAGAGGCATAGGTAAAAGAGAGAAGAGAAGTAAAGAGAGAAAAGGAGTAAAAATAGGAGAGGGGGAGAGAGAGAGAGAGAGAGAGAGAGAGAGAGAGAGAGATAGAGAGAGAGA